GCCCGGGGTGCCAACGGGATGGAGAGAGGGAGAGGGGAGCGTGGGGTGGCCTTGCCCCGGGGGGGGGGCGTTTTCTGCCCCTCCGTCTGTCGCTCTCTGTTGAGTTAAATGCCCTCTGGCAATTTAAAAATCAAGAAAATAAGTAAGAAGGGCCGGTAGGTGGCTCAGTGGCTAAGGCGCTGGCCTCCTGCATGGTCAATGCAGTTTGAGTCCAAGACTTGGTAGCTGGCTTTCTCATTTTCCCTCTCTCCCTCTGTCTCTCTCAGGCACAAATGGTAGTAAATACATAAACAAACTTACAATACATAAGGTCCACAGCTCTGTTGCTGGAGAGCCGGAAAGCTTCTCCCCCAGCAAACCCCCAGCGTGCAGAGGACCCGCTCTCCCTCAGGTTCCCAGGGCGATGGAGCTAACAATCTACCAGCTCGAGGCTCGGAGATCCGGACGGAGGCCCCGCTCTGCTCTGAGCTAAAGGTCCCCAGCCTCGTCCCTGCCCTCTGGTCCACCTCCGAGAGTCTGCCGGCTGGAGACAGACAGTTGCCGCTCCAGGCTCTCTGGGGCCTTGGGTTTTTCAGGGTCTTTTCTGTGGGACCTAGCCACATCTCCGGCACGGGCCGCCAAGGACACGGGGCGGGAGGCGGGGAGGGCGGGCAGGAGACCCAGCTGGCAGGAACAGCTCCGGCCCACTCACCAAGCTTTCTCCCATGCTCTGCTTGGGGTCCTGGTCCTCCTCCCGCCCTTCATCCTGGCTCCTTTCTCTCCCACAGCCCAACGGGGACAAAGTGCTGAGTAAGATGGTCCCGGAGGTGGGCAAGGTGTTCCGGCTGGAGGTGGTGGTGGACCAGCCCATGGACAGGCTTTACGAAGAGCTGGTGGACCGCATGGAGGCAACCGGGGAGTGGAACCCCAACGTCAAGGAGATCAAGGTGGGGGCGGTGCGGCTGGCAGGGACCAGGAGAGCCCATTCTGAGTGGCAGGCCAAGGTGGGGCCCCAAGCTGTGGGTGGTGCGTAGCCCCAGTGGGAGCCAAGCCACAACCCTGGTGTCCTGTGGCCTGGCAGGTCCTGCAGAAGATCGGCAAAGACACGGTCATCACACACGAGCTGGCTGCAGAGACGGCGGGAAACCTCGTGGGCCCCCGCGACTTCGTGAGCGTGCGCTGTGCCAAGCGCCGCGGCTCCACCTGCGTGCTGGCCGGCATGGCCACACACTTCGGGGCAATGCCCGAGCAGAGAGGCGTCATCAGGTAATCCTGGCCCAGGCGTGCAGCAGGCTCCAGGGCGCCACAGTCAGAGCCCCCAGCTCTAGGAGCAAATCCTCACCCTGACTTCCGCTCCCTTTCACAAAGGAAGACTCCTTTTCCAAAGTAGGAAAAAAACATGACATTGGCCCTCCTTTGACAGTGTCTTACATTCCCTGCAAGTTTAAGAACCTGAGTAGCAGGCCAGCAGGTGGGTTAAAGGTCATCAGGGTGCTGGTTTCCCATATGGTTGACCACGGTTCGAGTCCTAGACCTAGCAGCTTGCTTTCTCAATTTCTCACCTCTCTCTGTATATCTGTCTCTGGTGAATACATGTGCCCTATAGCAAATTTAAAATAATAATAATAATAATAAAATGAAATAATTTTTTAAAAAAGGAACTCCTTTTCTGCAGCAAGGGGTGAGGCTGCGGCTTGGTTGGTGCTTGTTCAGGTGCAACCGTGCTGGCCATGACACTGAAATAGTCCACACCACATGCCGCCTGCCCTCACCACCACCCTGGGCCCTTTCCCAGCCCCCCCAACCCTGCCCCTGGGACCCAGCAGCTACAGCGTGCCACAGGCAGGCTCCAGGTCCTGTCCCGTGACAGCTGCACCCGTTCTGATGAGCTGGTCACCGTGCCAACCCTGCCCCCGGGACCCAGCAGCTATAGCGTGCCACAGGCAGGCTCCAGGTCCCGTCCCGTGACAGTTGCACCCGTTCTGATGAGCTGGTCACCGTGCCAACTGTCAAACAGTGCCCCTGGCATCTCCATTCCTGGATGAGGCTTAGAGAAAGACAAGGCTAGGGGCCGGCAGGGGGTGTGGACTCCCACATGACCAACCACGGTTTGAGTCTCGGAACTGGTGGCTTTTTTTCACTCTCCCTCTCTCTCTCTCTCTGATCAAATTAAAATAAATAAATCTTTTTAAAAAAGACAAGACAAGGCTGTCTAGAAACCCGCCAGCATCCCCTGACTGTTCCTCTGCTTGCCAGGGCCGAGCACGGGCCCACCTGCATGGTGCTTCATCCCCTGGCCGGGAGTCCCTCCAAGACCCAGCTCACCTGGCTGCTCAACATTGACCTCAAGGTGAGAGCGTGGAGGGCGGGTGGCCAGGGGTGGCGCAGTGAGCACACAGCTCTGCCACCCTGAAAGAGCAGACAGGGCAGGGCCTGGGGTGACGGTCATACTGTCTCCAAAGCCTCCCGTACCTCGCATATAAAAGTCCAACTCTACAGTTGCTGTTTTAAGAGGAAAGGCGATGGTGCTTGCCCAGGTCACCGTGGGCAGACGGGTGGACTCTGTCTGGATGGCAGGTCATGCATTTCTGACCCGGTCACGACCACTGGGCAGCATTGCTGTCCCCCAGCCAGGACCGGTCAACCCCAAGGCTGCTCCTCTGAGCGGAGCTGGAAGACCAGCTGTTTGTGACAGGGTGCAAGGGTCGGGGAACACCACCTGCCACAGGGAAGTCAAGTTCTCCCCTTCCACTCCAGGGATGGCTGCCCAAAACCATCATCAATCAGGTCCTGTCTCAGACCCAAGTGGACTTTGCCCAGCACCTGCGCAAGCGCCTGCAGTCCAGCCCCGCCCCCGAAGCCCGGGCTTAGCCCAGCCTGCTGTGTCCGCTGCATTGGCTTCCTGCCCAGCCCGTCGGAAGTTCCTGTCGGAAGCCTGCTTGTCTAAGACCCTCTCTGGACACTGGGCCAGGGTAGTAGGGTTGGGGTGTACTAGGACTCAGATTGGCCAAAGTTTCAGTACTGAGAAACGGGGATGGACTCTTAGAGGGCCCCCTACACTGACCAGCTGTAAGGAACGTTAGGGTGCCTCGGATCTCTGTAAGCCTTCCTTCCTGGGCCAGTGGACGCTCACCTGGACATTTAAAACATGCTAGTGGGGGATCTGGGGGGCCCTAGCAGCCTGCCTCTCCTCCCCCAATGGGTACAATATCACCAAAAGCAGGCAGCCGTCCTCAGGGGACCTTCCATAAGGAGACTCCAAGTTCTCTCTGTTAAACCATCGACGATTAAGCTGAATTCCCTACTTCCTCCACAACTAGTCAGAACAAAGAATCGTAACCAACAAATAACCTGCTCACCAAATCTTTGAGCGGGTACAGACCTGCTTTAAAATTACACTCCTTTTAAAGAAAAAGATAAACTATTCTAGTAGACTGCAACTTCATACTAGAGTCCTAGACAGATTTTAATTAAACTAACTTCTCTGGCTCATTAAAAGGCAGGGAACTGCTGAGGATTTCTCTCAGTTGTGTTGATGTTACCAGAATCTCTCCTAAAACTTGCTTCTTAGAGAACTGGTAAGCGATTATGAGTAAGAAAGACGGAGAGCTCAATGGAGGATTGTATTTCTCTAAGGCTAGCCAGCCCTGCCCTGAGTGGGCGTCAGCACGAGCACGGCAACACCATTTCTGTTCACGATGCCTGTTGGCCGTGAGAATTCCACGGCTGCCGACAACTTCTCTGCTGATCTGAAAGGCTTTGAGTTTTATTTGGGGAGGGGAAGTGGCCGGAAGAAGGGGTAATATGGAGACAGCAACCCCCTTTGCCAGGATTTAGAGAATTTCTGCTTTGAAAATATAAACTGGGACAGGAGGAAAAAGATGAGCGTTATCACCAGGAGCTTCCCGCCCAGCCTGGACAGCAGCGCCGACTACTCCCTTTGGAGGTCGAGCTCCGGCTATTTACTGGGCAGTGCAGCGGCAGTGGGAAGGTGGCACTGACGGAGGTAGGAAAACACCCCAGCTGGTAGAGCTGTTTATTCTAACTTACTCGACAGTATTAGCCTACCTTCGGCATGGAACCTGATTACCCAGAACACCCGTCAGAGAGGACGGTTGCAGGGAAGTATCTGCCGAACAGCACTGTCATCCACTACCAGCTGAGACGGCTACTGTGTGAAGACACGGTCAAGCAACAGAGCAACAGATACTATGGTTTGAAGAGAACTGACAGGACCGGCCCCACAGTGCCGACCATGCTTCACACCCCAGTCCAGTGGCTGGGCAAACATGCCGGGCACATATGCATGATGCCCAGAGTCCCAATGGGAAGAGGACTGTAGTGTGGCCACACCCACTCAGGGTGCTTTCTCTCGGGAAACCAGGCTGACCGTGAAGAAATGGGTTCCAACAAACATGCTCTCAGGCTGATTTACATTCACCTCCTTCAAATTGTGTAACTGTGTCTTAGTGGCATCTGGGATGTATTTCCCACGTATTAATTTTATATTAGAATAAATAAACAAGTTGGCACTGATGATCTGATCACAGAAACTATTTTATATAGGAGTAGGGGCCAGTGGGTGGCGTGGTGGTTAAGGTGCTGGACACTTCCACATGGCTGACCACAATTTGAGTCCTGGACCTGGTGGCTTGCTTTCTCGCCTTCCTTCTCTCTCTGGTCAAATTAAAATAAGTGAATGAATAAAGTTAAATAAATAATCCTTTAAAAAAAAAGTATTCTTTGAGCTCTTCAAATAAACCTTAATAAAGCATACACACAAATTCCTGAATATTAACAAGCAAGTTCTGACTTATGAGATCAAATGCACAAACCCTGCTTTACAGCTTAGACCTGCACACCTCCGTGACCGCTGACACTATTACAAAGGACTCATCTTCTAGATACACCACCCGCTTCCTCAGCCGTTCATATCGCAAAGACTAGAAGCTTTGTAGGCAGGTCTGCCCTTCTAAGACAGGCCAGGCCGTGAATTAATATGCTTCTAGGCCCATGTGGAGGTTAGGGTGGCTACACCCCACATGGCCGACCACACAGTTTTGAGTCCCAGAGCTGGGGGACTGAAAGGCATGCTGGTAGGCCAGCAGGTGGTGTGGTGGTGAAGGAGCTGAATTCCCACGTAGCTGACTGCGGTTCAAGTCCCAGACCGTGTGGCTTGCTTTCTCTCTGCTAAGTGCATGTACCCTACAGCAAATTAAATAATAATTAATAAATAAAAATAAATAACTTAAAAATGAAGAAGGAAAAGAAACATGCTGGGTGCTTGTGTGTGCCCTAAACTCTGAGAATGGAGCACACCCTGAACCCCTGGAGAGCGTCTACGCCCTCCAGCAAATTAAAATAAAGTCTAGGCTCCTAGGGTGACAGAGGAGAGGCCAGCCATCCCTCCTAGTACTTCTGTTAGGTCTCCAGCCCAAACTACGGAACAGCCAGAGTCTGGGCGACGCAGTCGGAAACAGACACTGGTCAACGCTGCCGTACTGGGGTACTGACACGGGGGCCAGCAGGCGGCGTGGGGGTTAGGGCGCTAGACTCCCACATGGCTGACTGCAGTTCTAGTCCCAGACCTGGTGGCTTGCCTTCTCACTTTCTGTGTCTCTCTGGTCAGACTGATACTGACAGTAATAAAGTTGGATAAAATAATTATATTTTTTAAAAGAAAGATATGACATGGGGAATTTTTTGGGCGGCAAAGTGACACTAGGTGACTCAACCACGGCCCTAATGCTCGGCGACAGTGTGGCTACGTGGCACCTGCCTGCCCCTGTGATCCCAGGTGGAGTCAGATGCAGGCAAGACTCGGGCAATCACAGAGGCTGCACCTGCCCTAAGAGTGCTGGGGTCCCCAGGGAAGGCCACTCTCCCCTGCCCGTTGTGGCCGGCCCCAGGCTGCCCTTTACAGCCATCTGCTGCTAGGGAACACAGGCAAGGCAGGAACCCTGCTGAGACCGGGAGAGTTGGAGAGAGAGAGCTGGAGGGACACTCCTGACCCTTGTGACCTTGTTTGCCTCGAGACTCCGGCTTCCACAAAACAAAGGGGGGGGGTCCTTGGTTTAGCTGGTGAGAATGGGGGTGCTAGGAGGTGTGAGGTCCAGAGACCCCCCTTCCTTCCAAGATGGCTCCCCTCTCTTAGGCCGCCCACGTTTGTGACACTGTCACTAAGAGGAACCCAACACAAACCCGGAAACAAGTTTTATTTGGGAAGAGTTTCTAACTGTCAGCGCTACAAGCATGTCCCTTCACAAGAGCAGTCAGAGACCTGGGGCTTCCGGAGGTCCCTGTGTCGAACAGTCTATTTCAAAATTAATATAACCACACCCACAGCGAAGGGGCGGCCGGGAGCGGGCTTTGAAACGCATGCCCCGGATTTCAGTGGCTCTCAGGCAGGCCACCTCTGTGGCCATCAGGTGAATGGATCCGGTGCCCACAGAAGGAAGTGTCCCCTGTGAGCTCACTTCCCGCAGGTCACCCGGGCCGCCTGGGTCCAGCACCGTGTCACAGAGAGCTCCTGGGCCCCACGCTGGCAGGGCTGGCTCACCACAGTGAGGGCAGTAAGTGAGGGGGCAGGCGGGAGAGCAGGAGCCGGCAGCCCCGGCAGCCCGGCAGCCCCGCCGGCCCGCCGTGCTCAAAGCAGAGGCTGTGTCCTGCAGCATCTTTGGGAAAACAATGGAGACCGTTAAAAACCAAAACCGAAAGCCCAGTCTCTTCCCCAGAAGGCCGCGTCTGGACGGAAAGCGTGGCCCGGTCAGGGTTCCCACGGAGGACTCCGCCTCCCGTCCACCTCGGTCTCCACGTGGTACAGGACGTCCGCCAGAGTGTGCTCCACCACGGCGCCCCAGCCCATGTCGCTCATCTGCAGGGCGAGGAAGAGAGGGCGGTGAGGACCGGCCCGACGCGAACCCCGAGGCCTGCAGCCGCGCAGCGGTACTCACAGGGCGGTAGGCGAGGTCCTTGGGCGGGTACTTGAAGCACGGGCCAAAGTTAATGGAAACCTAGATAAATTCGATGCAAGCAGACAAAAAGGAAGGAAGAAAGAACAAGAAGGAAATATTGAAAAAATTAATTTGACACAGAAAAATGTTCACTTTAAATGTGGCTGCAGACACTAAAATACAGAGAACTCTCGAGGGATTAACTTCTCTCTTTTTTATTTTTATTTTTTTAAAGGTTTTTGCCAGGGCCGACAGGCGGTGTGGTGGTTAAGGGCGTTGGACTCCCACATGGCCGACTGCGGTTCGAGTCCTGGACCTAGTCGCTTGCTTTCTCACCACCCCCATTCTGGTTGAAATTAAAAAATAAATAAAGTTAAATAAAATAATTCTAAAAAAAAAAATCAAAAGAAAGGTTTAACCATAGGGTGGGCGTGCTTGCCGGAGAAAAGGAGAGGCGGTGAGACAGAAGACGAGAAACCCTCCAGGAGGCATGGCTATGCCATGTTCTTTTCTTCACCAGCTTCCTTCTGGGGTTTTGCACGCACATGCCTGCAGTGAATCTCAAGCCACCAGGTCTAGGACTTGAACCATGGTCAGCCATGTGGCAGTGCAGCACCTTAACCACCACACTACTTGCTGGTCTCCAATCTCTTTTGTTGTTGTTACTTATTTATTTACTTATGAGCACGTGCACTCACCAGAAAGACAGAGAGAGACAGAGAGACAGAGAGACAGAAAGTGAGAAATCACCCCCCAGGGGGGATGGCCACACCGCAATCCCTTCTCCATTCTCCTCTCGGGATCTTGGGCATGCATGCACACGCACCCGGCGTGAGTTTAAGACACCAGGTCCGGGACTCGAACCATGGTCGACTACATGCAAATCCAGTGACATAACCATTATACCAACTGCTGGTCCCTGGTCTCCAATTTTTTTATTTTAAATTAACAGACTCTAATGATAGTTCCTTCCCTTTGTCACACTGGATAAAAAACAAATCAGTATAAGTGACAGTGGTAACAGTGGTGGTCTACAGGATCACCCAAGGCCAGACTGACCACACACGTGTGCCCTGCGCACCCTTCACACTGAAGGGTCCCGCTCCCACTCAGCGCCCGGAGGAAATGCGAGGCACGCCACCGGTGAGAGGACTATCTGTCCAAGGGACACAAGTAGTCCCACCCAGTGGTTCTGGACAGAGAGAGATAGCCTCACCCTTCCCACGCCCTGGCCTGCCTCGCAGGGCCACGTGGGTGGGCCACGTCGGGACCTACCGTGCAGCTCTTGTAGAGTGAGATGGCCGGGAAGTACACGCCCTCGAAAATGTCCTTGTAAGCCACGCCTTGGTTGACACCATTTTTATAAAATACTATCTGGAATAAAAACCTGGCTTTACCTCGGGGTTTAGAAAAGAGCAAAGGGAAAAGAACTGACTGGGAGGAAGGTTCAGCGGGTGCCGGGCCTGCGCGGCCGGGGGCCCTGCCCGCTGCTCGGTGCAGCCCCGGGAGCTGTCCGCGTGCCTCCCCGCACGGTTCAGGCAGGCCGTGGGGCTCCCGGGGGCCTCTGGGACCCGGCCACGTCCAGCACCGGGCGGACCGTCCTCACAGGTGCCGGCCCCCACAGCCCTGGATGCGCGCTGAGCTACCCCTCCGCCCCCACACCCCGGCCGTCCCCTCGATGGCTCCACGCCTGCCTCAGACCAGGGCCTTGCTCTTTCCGGCACATGTCCTGCTCTACCGCCCCCCAGCCATTGCTGTCCCTTGTACTGTTGCCCCTGGACCTTGCTTCTCCTGTACAAGACGGGGCTTCAGGGCACTTTATTTGGGACAGAGCACGTGCTCTTGCAGGGACGAGTCAGTAAGAGAGAGAGAGGGGGGATGGCCGCCCCACAATCCCTCCTCCATTCTCATGCCACAGTCCAGGCACACACACACACGTGCCTGGCATGTTTCAAGTTGCTTCCAGCTCAGACCGCTCTTGCTCTTGGCCGCCCCCATGCCCCCTTTCCATTCTGGCCCCAGGGCAGGCCCAGCTGTGCCTCCCGCCCTGCTGCAGCGTTCCTGCCACCCTCCGTGTGCCCCTCCCCTGCTTCTCGTCTCCGGGTCAGGTCCCTGTCCGGCCACAAGAGAACAGCGCGTAGCAGGTGGATGGGCCACTCCCTTAGGGCCCCACTTTCCAAATGAACGGATGGAGGGGTCACTTCAAGGCCCCGGACCCCAAGAGAACCACTCACCTCGCTGTGGGGCGTCTGCTTCAGGCTCTTTTCTGCTTTATCCACGAAGTCTTTTTCCTCAAAATACAAATAACTCTTGAACTTTATCAGAGCCTTGAAAATGGAGGAAAACAAGACACACTGAAGTACCAGCCACGTCCCCGTGAAAATGCCACCGGCCAGACCCACGCAGACCGCACATCCTTGCTCTCCACAACAGGAACTGCCCATCCTCGCAATTTAGCTGTGCTAGGCGCTTTGTTTTCTTGTTTTAACGGATTATTTATTTCATTTCTTACTCCCTTACCGTCCAGCAAATTAAAAAAAGAAAAGATTGCCTGAGAAAGGCAGGAGGGTTTGCAGGGAGCCGGCAGAAGTCAACCTCTCAGTAGTTTAGGTAAAACTCAAAACCCTGCGAATATGCACTTAAGACGTGTGTATTGCTTTATGTTAACATTTTCCCAGAGGGCACATGCACTCACAGGGGACAGTGAGCAGCCCCTGCGGGGACGGTCACGCCGCAGCCCCTGCTCCTCCAGCTCCTCCTTATTTGGGGTCTGTGGGCATGCACACGCAGCATTTCAGGTTTCTCAAGCTGCCGGGTCTGGGACTTGAACTGAGGGGTTGGCTATGTGAGACTCAGTCATTTTTTTTTTTTTTAATTACTTATTTATTTTTACTATTACTTATTTTTTTAAGTGTTTTTTTTTTTTTTTTTTCCTATAAGGCACGTGCGTTTGCCAGAAAGACAGAGAGAGACAGAAAGTGAGAAATCACCCCCCGGGAGGATGGCCACGCCGCAATCCCTTCTCCTCCATTCTCCTCTCGGGATCTTGGGCACACACGCACATGCGCCTGGCGTGAGTTTCAAGCCATCGGGTCCAGGCCGTGAACCGCTGTCAACTACATGGGCATCTAGCGACATAGCCATTATGCTAACTGCTGGTCCCTAGATACATGCTTTTTAAGTAATTATTTATTATTATTAAATTTGACCAGGGAGAGTGAGAAAACAAGCCACCAGGTTCAGGACTTGAACCATGGTCAGCCATGTGGGCGTCCAGTGCCTCAACCACCATGCCACCTGCCTCTCTGGAGATATCAGAAAAGGACAGCAGGCAGGTGGTGGAAGAGAGGGAGGTCACGTGGTAGTGGCGGACTCCAGGTGACGGGAGTCTGGGCACTGGCTCATGTTCTTCAACGCTGTTGCTACGTCTCACAGATCTCGTGAACCTGATGCTGGGGCAAGCGTGCTGGCAGGGCAGCGTCACGAGGATGCCCACGCTGGCCGCTGCTGCACACAGTGGCCACCGCAGGGCTCGCGGGAGGAAGGCTCACCTTATCCTTGTAAGTATCAGGCAGCGACCTGGCCGTCTCCGTGTCTTCGGGCAGGTTGATGTAAAAGCCCAGGACGTCGCCCTGCCCGTAGCCAGAGGAGTAGTGCTTGCCGACCGACTGGTGGAACTTGGTGCCCTTTTTGCTTCGCCAGGAGTAGCTGAATTTATCATAGCCCAGGGGGGCCTGAAGGTTACCTGGGCCAAGGAAGAGACGGTCAGAGACTGCAAGTCAACGCTGGCTTGCTGAAGGGAGGAAAACGCGCCGCTCCTTTCTATCTTACACTGCTGGGTGTCAATTTTGTAAAACTGCTTAAAAGCTATTTTTACTAGTAAAGAATCGTGAAAACATGTCAGGAACTGCAAACCAGCTGAGTCCCCGAACACTGAGTCCTGTGCTCAGTCGGACGAGCCCAAGAGCCCTGGCCCACCCTCGCTACCTGGATGACGTCCGGCCCGGAGCTTACCCAAGGGCTGGGACCACCCCAGCCTGGCAGCTGTGTCCGGCGGCATCTCGTCCACGGTGATCTCGAAGTACCAAGCACCCTTCCGCACCCCGTGAGAGGCCCGCACCATGGAGTAGCCCTTCTCCCCCACCACCGTCAGCCGGTCATCCGAGATCTTCAGCTGCGGAGCTGCGGGTGGAGCCAGAGGCCTGCAGCTTAGCTGAGGCGCCTGGAGACCACTGGCCCCGACGAGGGTCCCTACACTCCAGTAACGAGGCAGAAGCTGGACTTGCCGGGCAAGGCTTTGGAACATTAGCTCAGGGGCTAAATATCTCAACATAAGGAACTAACAAAAAGTGAAGAAAGCTGTTTGGTCACCTATAATACTTTCTATTAAATATGGTTATATTTAAGATGACTGCTTTAAATTAATTATATCACATTTCCTTAAAATATAACAAACCAATTATAATGTGTTTGGATCCTGATTTGAATAAATCATCCTTTAAAAGACTTAACTTTTTTTAATTGCCAGGGGACGTGTGCTCATGGAAGAGAAAACACATCTCAATAGAGCGGTCACGAATCCCTCCCCTCCACTCCCCCATCTTGCCGGGTTCAGGGCACACCGGTGCCGGCATGTAGCTCAAGCCAGCAGGGTCAGGATTTGAACCGAGTGATGAGCCATGGAGGGCCCAGCTCCGTTAAAACTAGGTCATGAGGCTGGCCCATTCACTTTTCAACATTTGAAAAAAAAAGATTTATTTATTTAGTTTTACTTGTTAATATTATTATTATTTCTTAATTTGACCAGAGATACACAGAGAAAGGGAAAGTGAAAGCAAGCCTCCAGGTCTGGGATTCGAACCACGGTCGGCCATGTGGGAGTCCAGCACCTTAACCACCACACCACCTGCTGGCCCCCTTATTTTAAAACACTTTTAAGGGGCTACCCCCCAGTGAATGGCCACATCGCAATCCCTTCTCCTCCATTCTCCTCTGGGGATTTTGGGCACGCACATGCACCCCCACATGAGTTTCAAGCTGCCGGGTCCAGGACTCAAACGTGGTCAACCACGTAGGAGTCCAGCGCTGTGAGCACGCCACCACCTGCTGGCCACCTGATGCAATGTTAGCAATGACTGAAACGCAGCCTTTCGGTGCAGAACCCCTGGCTACCACACTGTTTCAGCTGTCGCGGACCCTCGGTCTCTCCCATCTGGAATAGTCTCCCACTCTCTGAGTATCGGTCACTTCAGTCTGCAAACTGTCCCTAGGCTGGTCTGCTGTCGCCTCCTATCTAGGTCCAGGGAATTTGTCCATTGAAGTGACCCTGTGCCCTGGCATGTGTCATCCTGGGAGGGCATGACCTGCTGAAGGTGACACTTTCCGGGTTTCTCCACTGTGAAATTACGATTCCCCCTGTAATAACTCTGAGTACCTAGTGCGGAGACAGAGACATATTTGAGACATGAGGAAATCTAAAGATGGACGGAATTCAGATGACAGCAAGGAATGACCTATTCTGCTTCGCATGATAACATCTGGGCTAGACCTGCGGCCTGGTGGCTAAGAGAATCAGCTCTCACACGGCTGACTGCATGGCTCAAGTCCCAGATTGCTCAGCTTAGAAAGCATGCCTGGCACATGTGCGTGTGTGCCCCAAATCCCAACAGGGTGGAGACACAGAAGGGACTGTGGCATGCCCAAACCCTACTGGGGTGCGTTTTCTTCCTCTTCCTCTCCCTCTCCTGAGTACATGTACTCTCAGGCCAAAAGGAAAACAACAGAGGGGCTCTGGGGAGCTGGGCAGCGGCACAGCGGCCAAGTGCAGATGTCTGTGAGGCAAGGCCGACCCACACGGGGAAGCAGCGAGGCTCCAGGCACAGTGTACCTGCCACTTGGGGCTGTGGGAAGGAAGAGATGGGAGAAGGGGCTGTGGTGGGACCAGCTGCCCCGGGAGCCTGTGCCCTCTCCCTGTCTCTCAGGCGACTACACACACCCTTTGGCAAACAAAGACAAAAGTCTCCTAACGACCAAAGCCAGAATAATTTAAGTACCACAAAAGTTCAGATTATACCCCGCAGAATAAAATGAGTGAAGTCCATACTGATACACACTCACGAAGTTCAAGTTTACTTGGGGCAATATAAAAAAGCCGGGGTCCATGGACAGTTCTGTTGACAAATAGTCCGGCTGTATCGCAGACTGCAGGGCTCTCCCTGGGGACAAGTACGACACTGAGAACCCACACGGATATAAACAATTCATGTGACACAAGGAAAGAGGACAGAGAGCCGTCAGGCACACACACAACTGTCACGGGGCCCGCTGAGCAGTGCTACCGACGGGCGAATGTCACAGAGACTGATCTGTATACCCTCAAAGGATCTGCCCCAGGTCAGCAGGTGAATCCCTCATGTCCGACTCTGTGTTTCGGGTCTTGGACCCGGAAGCTTGAAAATCATGCTGAGAGGACCAGCAGATAGCGTAATAGTCATGCCGCTAGACTCACGTAGTCGACTGTGTTCTGAGCCCCAGTCCCAGCGGTTTGACGCCACATGGGAGCATCTGTGTGTGGGATGTGTGTGTTTAAAATCCCAAGAGGAGAATGAAGAAGAGACTGCATGCAGCATGGCCAACCCCCAGGCGTTGATTTCTCACTTTCCCTCTTGCTCTATCTCTTGTGAGTGTACCCACCCTTTAGCATAAACAAAAACTAACAATAGTCTTTAAAAACCTTATATACAGGGGTCAGCAGGTGGCATGATGGTTAAAGGCACTAGATTCCCACATGGCCAACCGTGGTTCAAGTCTCAGACCTGGCGGCTTGCCTTTCCTCCTTCCCTTTCTCTCTCTCTGGTCAAATTAAAAAGTAATAACAAGTAGAATTAAATAAAATAATTCTTTTTTTTTTGGGTGAGAGGTTTTTGCTATAAGGAGCGTATGCTCGCCAGAAAGACAGAGACAGAGAGACAGAAAGTGAGACATCACCCCCCCCCAGGGGGGATGGCCATGCCTCAATCCCTTCTCCTCCATTCTCCTCTAGGAATCTTGGGCATGCACGCACACACGCTGGCATGAGTTTAAGTCACCGGGTCCGGGACTCGAACCTCAGTCAACTGGGAGCCCAGCGACATAGCCATTACACCAACTGCAGGCTCCAATAAAAAAATTCTTAAAAACAAAACCATATCTACATATATGAGGTCTTCAAAAAGTGCACAGAAAATGAGTATTATAACAAAACTGGTGGGGACCAGCAGCTGGCTCACTGGACTCCCACGTGGCTGACCGCAGCTGGAGTCTCAGATCTAGTGGCCCAGAACCGAGTGCGTGTGCACCCAACATCCTGAAAGGAGACTGAAGGAGAGGGTCCTGTGGCGTGGCCATCCTCCACGGGGATTGAGGGGGATTTCTCGCTTTCTGTCTCTCTGTATCTCTAAGATAAATATACTCTTTTCAAAAGAAAATATGAAGGATTTAAAAACTATGTATATCAAAATAAGCCCTGACTTTAACTCCATTTCTCTATGAACTTTTTTGGGCAGGGATGGGGGATGACGAGATCTTTGCTATGCTAGAGAGACAGAGACGGAGAGAGAGAAAGTGAGAAATCAACCCCCGCCCAGGGTGAATGGCCACACCACAATCCTTTCTCCTCTATTCTCCTTGTGGGGTTTTGGGCAAGTACACACACGTGCCCAGAGTGAGTTTCGAGCTGCTGGATCCGGGACTTGAACCATGGTCAGCCATGTGGGAGTCCAGGGCCTTACCCACTATGCCGCCTGCTGGCCCCTTTCTGTGAGGTTTTGGAAGTTCCCTCATCTGCAGTGGCTAGAGCTCACAGGGAGACAGAATAAATTCCTGTACGTCTGTGAGCCTCGTGTGGGGGAGCAGGGGGAGGGACTGACGTCCACCCGACTCTATTCTAGAGTGGACGTGGCTGAGGCCAGTAGCTGGGAGAAACCCCAAGGGGCCCCTAAATACCTCGGTCATGCAGAGCCAGCAAGACCCGCTCATACAAGCAGGCCCTGTAGAGGTCTCCGGGGATGGGCTTTCCTGCCCAACAGTCGAGTTCGAGCTTCTCCGGGTCAGGGGCATGGGGGTCGGGCTCGGCCAGAATGTACCGGTAGCCGTCTTTGTTAAACGGGTGCTCCAAGGGGTAGCCGTGTGGGGGGAGGCGCTGAGCAGAAAACAAGGGGTCACTGCAGAAAGAAAAACAAAATCAAGAAAGCAGCCCTCGGGCTCCAGCACACTCGAAGTTCTAAGAAAGTCTCCTGACTCAGGACATTTCAGGGGCACCGCACGAGCCTCACAAAGGACCACCCAGCCCTCCGCAGGCAAAGCAGAGAAAGGAAAAGGGCTGTCCGTGATTTAAAAAACTCAAACACTTTTTGGAGCAAAATAACCCCAGGCCCATTTTATGAACTCGTTACTGAGAACAGATCCTGGGGTGCATCCAGGTTTAAGCACAGGGAGTCAATGCTCGTTCTGCAGAGGCTTCCCGAGGAAGGGCGGGCGGGGGCAGGGGTGACAGCAGTGGGGACGACAGCTGCCGGACTTCACCTTCCGCTTCACCCTCTTGGCCCCTTCCCTCCCCCGGTTAATCGGAGTGGGTGGAACCCAGGCCGCTTCTCATGCAGGCTGGCAGCAGATCGCAGGTATGTGTTCCTGTCTCTGGACTTCTGGTCTTTGGTTTATCATGCACACAGTAGTGGAATCACCTACATCACCCTTCTTCCCTCTCCTCCTCTACCTCCCTAACACGTACGGGCTGTCTCACTGACGTCAGTCTGTGCTTACAGACCACCAGGAACGGGCTGGCACGTGGCGTGGTGCTTAAGGGCACTGGGTTCCACATGGCTGACTGTGGTTCGGGTCCTGGACCTGGCAGCTTGCTTTCTCACTTTCTCTCTCTCTCTCTCTCACTCTGGTCAAAAAAAATTAATTACTTAAGTAAGTAAATAAATAAATAAAATAAAGTTAAATCATAAGAAAATATAATTCTTAAAAAAAGGTGGGGGGAGGGGAAGGCCACCAAGAAGATCCCCACAGTCTGCATGTAATTCAGTCAGAACTACTTGCCAAAGAAACTATGCACAGACTTCAAAATTTTTATATGCACCAAAATAAACTCGTACTTGAACTCCATTTCCGTAAGAACTGTTGGGAGTCCCTGCATCTGCTATGGCTAGAGCTTACGGGAAGAGACAGGGAAGGCGATTACTTCCCGCACATCTGGTGAGGCTGACACGAGGCGGGGTGGGCAGGGGGAGGTCGAGGTCTGCGCTGCAAGGACAAGGGTGCCGGTGGCCCCAGACAAGCTCTAAGTGCAGGCACATGCTACTGAGGAGCGTGGTCCTTCCCCTAGTGGCCTCTGCCAGCACCTGGTGAGTCACACGGGGCGGGCGGGCCTGGGACTCCCCACCTCCGGGCCTTCTTGGTGGTGCCCGTCGTCCCTCCGTCCTGCTGTTTGCGTTTGGCTCCTCGCCCCTTCCCGCTGCTTCCTGCTGCGATTCCCCCTTTGAAGAGAAGGCACATCACTTCAGTGGGCTGGACAGAGGCCGTGGGGCCTGCGACACGGCCACGCCCAAGTGCATTTGTGTAACACCACCGGTGGCTTCCCCTCCAAACAGGCTGGGCTCACCCCGGGTCTGAACGACTCCGCTGTGTGTCGCAGCCCTGAACATGGGGTGCTGCAGCGCAAGTGCATCCAGGCCTAGTGACACCTGCGGGGCTTTTTCAACCTCCCTTCTGCAACGAACTGCAGTCCCAGTGTGCCTTCTGAGGATGTGGCACAAATGCATTTTCATTCACTCTGGTTCCAAACACCCACGGCTACAGAGCAGGAAGACAATGGCATGGGCAGTTCTCCGCCCGCGTCGGCACACACGTCCAGCTGGCAAGCTGTCCTCACGGCGAGCCCACGCTCGCTTGCTCGGACCCCACAGTGACTGCGTGGCAGGGGCACACCCAGCATGGCACACGGAAGCAGAATGTTCAGGTGTTTCTCTCCAGCGCTGCTGGACAGCCACTGTGCTTGCACGTGACATGGGAAGGGAGGAGGCTTCTGGAGCGGCAGGCGAATGTGGGTCCACGCCCACTGGGCACTGCGGTGCTGACAGGGACACGCCAGTGCACACGGCTCAGGTCAGATTAACCTCGCCTGTGGACTTAGTATCTACAGACCATTCACATTTTCTTTTTTAAAGAGTTTTGCCATAAGGCACATGTACTTGCTGAAGAGACACAGAGAGAGGGAAAGTGAGAAATCATTCTCCAGGGGAGATGGTCACACGTCAATCCCTTCTCTTTTCTCCTCTTAGGATTTTGGGCATACATGCACACACGCCTGGTAGAATTTTCAAGCTGCTAGGTCCAGGCCTCAAACCACAGTCAGCTATGTGGGAGTCCAGTGCCTTAATCGCCATGCCATCTGCTGGCCCCAATTTACACATTTGACAAAAGAAAATTAGCTACATATAATGCCACAAGGAATATCACCTTGTGTATTTTTTTTAATTTTTTCTTTGGGAGAGGTTTTTGCTATAGGGTGCATGCACTCGTCAGAAAGACAAAGAGAGACAGAGAGACAGAAAGCGAGATATCACCCTCCAGGGAGGATGGTCACTCTGCAATCCCTTCTCTGCCATTCTCCTCTCGGGATCTTGGGCACGCACACACACGCGCCCAGTGTGATTTTAAGCCACTGGGTCCGGAACTCAAACTGTGGTTGACTACATGGGAGTCCAGCGACATAGCCATTACGCTAACTGCTGGTTCCCACCTTGTATATTTCTGAAGACCTTTGACATTTTTGTCCAGTTTTATCATTCCTCTGAATAAAGTTAGCTTCTGCCTTCCAGAAAATGTCCCTGAACTGTAGGAAAACACCTTCATGTAAATTGAACAGCGCGCTCACTCTTAACTCGGGCAAGCTGGCAATGTCAGCGGCTCTGCTGCGTAAGGGTCACGAGGTCGAGGCGGGTCATATTCTGCACACAGAGCCAGGTGCTGCAGAACTTCCTCTTCGGACGCATCAGGTATTCCCCCACTTTTTAAACTGCTGCTAAAGACTACTAGGTTTTTTAATTGTCATTTGTATTTTAATCACTTTAAGAGGGAAGTTTTAGATCCATTTTCAAGAGAACGCGCAACACCCAGGTGCCTCCTGGCCATGTTGGGCAGAATATGACGACGGAAGAGCTCTGAACTACCGGCCAGGAACGGGGCAGTGGCCTCGAACGGAGCACTGTGCCACCGCCTCGCGAGGCTTTAGTTACTCAGGCTCAGCTTCTACCACAACTCGGCAAAAAGCATCGTCCAAACGACAAAATACTTAAGTCTGAGAGGCTGAAAGACAGGAGGAATTCACCTCCCAGGGTGGCTCCACCTGCAGGAACAGAAGGGGCACCGGGCATTGGTCATTACGCGTTGAAAGGGGACACACGGTGGAAAAAGGAAACACCACCCACCGCTGTTTCCGGCCCGGGATACCAACGCTGCTACCACACCGAGACAGGGACGGACGCCCCGAGTCGGGGAAGCTGCACCTCCCAGCTCGCCCAGCTCCGTCGGTAAGGAGGGCGCCCCGTGAGATGGGCTGCCGGGCAGGAAATGCCGCAGCGGGAACCACCTCGGAGCTGCTGCCACAGGACCAGCCGGGGGCTCGGGGCAAGGACAGCACGAGACCGGCACAGGGAGTGCCTTAAGTGACTCGCAGCCATGAGAAAGGGGAAGGCAGCTCAGTCTTCCTGAACTGCGTGTCAGGGACGCGGCTCCAGACAGGGACCCTGCCCTCGTGGCAGTACTTGTCCTACGCTACCTGTCACCCGAGACCAAACCACGCTGGAAAGCCACAAAACTCCTCTTCCATTGCCACCTGCCATATCCGGGGCTAGCTCCTAGAACCCCCTTTGGAAAAGTCTTCATAAACGTCAGAAGTCAGGGCCAGCCCACAGAGCACCGCCTCAGGACACATCCGGAGCCAGCAGCGCAGAAACCGCCCGGCGCGGCACTTGCCGTTTAGGTTCCCGCCGGTGGACACGGCGCTGCTCTGCTTCTGGTTGTCGTAGGCAGGACCAATGTTACTGAGATCCTGCAGGGAAAAGCATCCCGTTAGAAAAGGAGGCTGGGGGCTGGCAGGTGGAGTGGGGAGTAAGAACTGGGCTCCACGTGGTCACCCATAGTCTGGCCCCGACCCGGAAGTGTGCTTTCTCACTGTCCCTCTTCCTCTGTCTCTCTCTAGTGAGCACATGGCCTACAGCGAATTAAACAGCAATAATACTAATAAATAAAATTAAGTAAATAGTAATAAAAAAAAAGAGGCTACATGACCATGTCAACCTGGTGACACAAAAACAGGAGCTGCTGCACTAGAGTGGGGCTGAACAGGCCGTCCTGGAGAGGCAGGCCAGGCTGGGGCTGGAGCAGCTAACAGTCGGCGACGGTGGTGAGGCCAAGCCGCCCAGGGCAGCGTGGGGATGCAGCACACTGTACCGCCCGAGCCCCAGATGCACACTCCCCACGGGAGCTCAGCCCAGCCCCGTCAGACCACTCATCTCGCAAGCGACAGAAATGTGAATTCCAGCGTGAGTGTGCTCAAATGTTTTTTAAAAAATTATTTAACTTTATTTTTTTCAGAGGTTTTGCTATAGGGCGTGTGTGCTCACCAGACAGACAGAGAGACAGAAAAGTGAGAAATCACCCCCTGGGGGGATGGCCATGCCACAATCCCTTCTCCATTCTCCTCTCAGGTTCTTAAGCACACATGCACACGTGACTGGCGTGAGTTTAAGCCACCGGGTCTGGGACTCGAACCGCAGTCAACTACATGGGAGTTCAGTGATGTAGCCATTACACCATCTGCTGGTCCCTTAATTTAACTTTGTCTATTTTAATTTGACCAGAGGTGGGGGGGAGGGGAGAGGGAGAGAGAGAAAGAGAGAAAGAGAGGAAAAGTGAGAAAGCAAGCTGCCAGGTCCAAGACTCAAACCGCAGTCGGCCATGTGGGAGTCCAGCACCCTTAACCACCACGCCCCCTCGCCAGCCTCGAACTCTCAAAATTTCAAAACTAGCAAATGGAAACTGGGAAGGCACAGCTGGAAGATCTGCCTTTCTGAGGTGCCAAATACGACCCCTGCTGTTGAGCAGAGAGCAGGCAATTTCCTTCTCCTGTCACGTGAGCCATGCACCACAAATTCTCATTCACAATGGATGTTCCTTGCAACCAAACACGTTAAGAGCGAAACTGGAGATGACAGGAAGATGGGAAGGAATCGGGAACCGTAATCAAGCGTTGCAGTGAGGAGACAGATGCTAAAAACATGAAGCGGGTCTGTGCAAAGTCCTCCCGTCTTGGGGACGAGCCAGAACTACCACACCAGTCCCTGGGTTGCAGCGAGGGTCCCCTCGACAGGTACCAACCGTTGTTGCCAGGGTGTGTCCTGACGGGCATGTCACAGCGGTTAGGTGGCACATACCCCGGCATCCCCAACCCTGACTCCCGGATCCCAAGCGGCTTAAATTCAAAAGGGAATATTAACGTACAACTGTACCTGATCCAGAAGTCCGAATTTGGGGTAATCTTCTTCTGGGTCTTTACTCCCAGGATCAGGGTGCTCCTTTACCAAGAACACGTCCCTTTCTTTACTCTGAAAAGAAACAGGCTTCGGTGTTAATAAAAACTTTACACTTGGAAGTACTGGATGGATGATTACGTCAATTCCGAAATGTAGTCTCCAAAAAAGACAGTTTTTCCCGCTGAGGAAACTAACACGTGATCAGGGAACATTCGAACAGCAGAGACCTGAGAGGAGCAGTCTCGCGCCCTCCCCCCGCCCTCCCCACCAGAGTAAGTGCTGTGGACAGCTGGCGGTCCACCTCTCCAGGCGCTCCTGACCCTGAGGGCAACGGCAGGACAGCTTCAGCCTGGGCTCTCCTGCTATTTTCATCAGAGGAAAAACTGGTCTCTGATTTTGATATAAAACTGTGCTTGCAGGACCAGCAGGGGGCATGGTGGTTAAGGGCACTGGACTCTCACATGGCTGACCATGGTTTGAGTCCCAGACCTAGAAGCTTGCTTTCTCACTCTCCCTTTCTCGCTCTGTCCCTCTCTGGTCAAATTAAAATAAATAAATAAAGTTAAATAAAAAGTATTCTTTAAAAATAAATACATAAATAAATAGATAAATAAAGTTGCACTTGCCAAGTGCAGTGGACAAAGGTGTCCGTGTGTGAAACTGCTGTGAGTGCAGGTGATGCTCACGAGACACAATTGGCAACTTGATTTCGTGGGTGACATCCCTTCTGGGAGTTAACATCAAGTTGTCCCCATCTCTGTGGTCCTCACGTCAATTCAATGAGACTAAAGAGAACTTAATTATCACTACATTGGTTTGCCGTTTTATCCCCCATGAGACAAAAGGGGGGACAGAAGCAGAGAGAGAGAACGGAGGAGAGACAGACACTTCCAACCAGGTCCGGCTGCGTCATGGCCCTCCTTCCCCAGCCTCTGCATCAGCTAGGATTGGAGGTGTGCACAGCTCAGCAGGAGTATCCGAGCTGGCCTTCCACGCAGCCTCTGGCCTCCAAGCAGCGGCCCTGTTTGTGTGCACCACGGCTGGGCCAGAACACTGGGACCAGCAGATGGTGTAATGGCTATGTCGCTGGACTCCCACGTAGTCGACCATGGTTTGAGTCCCAGACCTAGTGGCTTAAACTCACACCGGGCACGTGTGCGTGCGTGCCCAAGATCCCGAGAGGAGAAAGGAGAAGGGATTGCGGCATCATGGCCATTCCCCCGAGGGGTGATTTCTTGCTTTCTGTCTCTCTCTGTCTGTCTGGTGAGCGTAACAAAAACCCCCCCAAAAAAAAAAAAAAAAAAAAAAAAAAGCCAAGTCTAGTTGGTTTTGCCTACTTACCATCGTTTTAACGATGTTATTTGGCCAAGTCATTTTCCCAGGTCTCTGTCTGGTCGTCATGCACTCCCAGTATTTATCGATAAATGGTATAATATCCTAATTAAAAAAAAATAAACATATTAAAGACTTTTATAGTTACTTTCAAAATTATGCTCAGAAGACAGAAAACAGCAACACTTTCAAAGACTGTGTTGGAGTCAAGAGAAAAATCAAGAGTTAGTCTTTGTACAGGATCTGGCAGGTAACGTGGTGGTTAAGGCGGTGGGCTCCCACACGTCCGACTGCAGTTCGAGTCCCAGACCTGGTGGCTTGCTTTCTCACTTCCTCTCTCTCTCTCTCTCTCTCTCACTCTCACTCTCACTCTCACTCTCATTCTCACTCTGTCCCTCTCTGGGCAAATTAAAAATAAACAAATAGGGGCCAGCAGGTGGCATGGTGGTTGAGGGCGCTGGACTCCCACATGGCCGACCACGGTTCAGGTCCTGGATCTGGCGGCTTGCTTTCTCACTCTCTCTCTCTGTCTTGCTCTGGTCAAATTAAAAAAATAATAACGACAAATAAAATAAAGGAAATAATTCTTTTAAAAAATAAATAAAATTTAAAAAATAAAGTTAAAAAAAGACTAAAGTTAAAAAAAAAAGTCTTTGTAATCATTGAATAAATATTTCGCTACAAACTAGCCATATACAGATTGAGGGACTTCCAAACACGTGCACACAGACCTTGGCCTCATGGGGCTGTAACAGGCTGTGCCATCCCACAGTGGCAGGGGGGGGGGGCCTGACACCATCCTCTCTCCAGAGCGCCTCATGCCACCTGCTGGAGATGGCCCCACCTGGAGACCCCACAGACGGGCAGCTCCGTTCCACCTCGCGAACGTGCTTGCAGTGTCCTGTCCTTGCCGTCTGGAATGACCAGTCACTCTCGAGTCTTCTCTCATAACTCTCGCATCTCACAGCCATCAAATACATTTTAAAATTCCAGAAGCCGTCCATCAGTCAGGCCCCTTCCCACGCCCCTGACCGTGGCCCTCGCCAGTGGCCGTTCGTGATAGCAGCGAGATGGGAGCGACGTCTGACCTTGGTCTTCGGGCACCACCCCCCCGTCCAGACATCTCCCAAAGCCCACCACTGCCTGTTAGCCCTGTGAGGACTTTTTTTTTTTTTTTAAATTTTTGATTCTGGCATATGTGCTTGCCAGAGACAGAGAAAGAGAGAAAGTGAGAAATTACTCCCTCTGGGGGGATGGCCACACAGCAGTCTTTTCTCCTCCATTCTCTTCTTGAAATTTTGGGCATGCACACACACGTGCCCAGCATGATTTTCAAGCTGCTGGGTCTGGGACGTGAACAGCAGAGTAGGCAAGGTGGGACCCAGCGCCTTGGCCAGCATGCCACCTGCTGGCCCAGACACCCCCTCTTGAAACAGGCAATCAGATTTAGGATCGCCAACAACAAAACTGACCCGTACCTTCTATCTCCTGACGTGGTACACAGAAAACACATTACCGGTGTCGCAAAACGTTTAACCTACACCGAACTGTGAGGAAACAATCAGAAATGCAAACTGAGGCACAGCATACCAAAGGCCTGCCTCGGTTCCTCCTACTGTTAAATAGCACAGCAGATCAAAAAAAGGAAAAAAGAAACCCAAAGTCTAATAAAGGAGCTATCCTAGCCTGGAGACGAGAAGCGCTCTGACCGGACCCCACTGGGCCCCAGAGCAGAGGAAACCCGTGAAGGGTGTTCCTATGGCAACAGCAGCACGAGCGCCCAGGGGTAGGTCAGTAGTGGCACCGCGAACTTTTGAGTATGACCAGAGCTGGGCTCGTGTGACAGACTGTCATACTGTAAGCTGTGTCCAGTCTCCTATTACGGCAGGCCCCCACCCACGGTTCTGCCTTCCATGCTGTGCGCTACCTGAGGTGCGGTGAGGTACTCTGACGGGTGGGGGCGCTGGGGTGCCCCACTCATGCGAGTTCTATCCCACCTTACTGTTCTAACTGTCCTACCTGATTCCTAGTTGCTGCCCCTCTCTCACTACACCTACTTCGTAAACACCATCACAAATACGTGCGGGAGGACAAAGGTCTATACGGAAGCCAGCACCGCGCCATCTCTGGCCTCCCCTGGGGGTCTTGGAGCGTACCCGCTGTGGCTAGGGGACAGTGTAGCTTAGACAGAAAACACACACAGGGTGGCTAGGGGACAGTGTAGCTTAGACAGAAAACACACACAAGCCGCGCCAGCCCGGCAGAACGTTAACCACTGCAGGTCTAATAGAGAATAAATGCAGGACCGGCGGAGAGGGTAGCAGTTACGTCACGGAACCCCACATGGCCAACCGCGGTTTGAGTCCCAGACCCGGCAGCTTGAAACTCACACCAGGCACATGTATATGCATGCCCAAGAAGGGACTGTAGTGTGGCCACCCCTCTGGGGGCTGATTTCTCACTTTCCCTTTCACTGTCTCTGTCTCTCTCTGGCAAGCACATGTGCCCCAAGGCAAAAACCTAAGGAAAAAAAAACACAATTAAGTGGATGTTTATTGTATGGACTGAATTTCTGTGGAGGTTTGAAAAATTACAAAATAAGGACCAACGATGATGTAATGGTTATGTCACTGGACTCCCACATGGCCAACTGTGGTTCAAGTCCCAGACCCAGTGCCTTGAAACTCAAGCTGGCTGCATGTGCGTGCATCCCCAAGATCCCAGGAGGAGAAGGGACTGTGGTGTGACCATGCTCCTGAAGGGTGGTTTCTCACTTTCTATCTTTCTGACTCTCTAGTGAACGCACACACCCTACAGTAAAAATCTCTCTTTTTTTTTTGGAGAGGTTTTTTGCTATAGGGCATTTGTGCTTGCCAGACAGACAGAGAGAAAGAGAGACAGAAAGCGAGAAATCACCCCCCAGGGGGGATGGCCACGCCGCAATCTCTTCTCCTTCATTCTCCTCTCGGGATCTTGGGCACACACGCACACGTGCCCAGCGTGAGTTTAAGCCACCAGGTCCGGGACTTGAACCGTGGTCGACTACATGGGAGTCCAGCGACGTAGCCATTATGCTAACTGCTGGTCCCAGTAAAAATCTCTCTTAAAAATAAAAGAAAGAAAGAAAAAAGACTGGCCCAGCCAGTGGTGTAGTGGTTAAGGGTGCTGGACTTCCACAGTTCAAAGTCCTGAACCTGGTGGCTTGCTTTCTCACTTTCTCTCTCTCTCACTCTGTCCCTCTCTGGTCAAATTAAATTAAAATAAATAAACAAATAAAGATAAGTAAAATAATTCTTAAAAAAAAAAAAAAAAAAAAAGGCAAACCTGGGTTGAGAAGGTTCACCATAGACCTGATGTGGGGGGACAGACAGTTGTTGGCTTCTGTAAAGCCAACCAAAACCGAGAACTCGTACTGCTAAGAGTAAGCCACCAACACAAGCGAGGAAACGAACAAATGCCATGACAAGTGCGGAGTCCCCGCGGAGCCCGGGGGCGCACTCTCGGACGCCGGGCACAAGCGCTGTGGCGGACTCATTTTGACGCCCCCTCAGCTCCCTGGCACAACTGCAAATGCACTTGCTCCATCCCTACCTTATCTTTGGAGAACATGGTTTTCGGGTGTTCATCCTGTGTGCGGGACTGCCACGTCAGGTTGGCCAAAGCACTAAGGCACATTTCCTTCAAGTCTATCAGCAAGAGAGAGGAAGAGCAGTTATGCACTGGTCTGTGCCCACCACCCAGGGGCTGCTGACGGTCCTCAAAACAGACAGGAGCAAAAAGTGGAGCCATCTTTCTTTTTTTAAACAGAGAGATTTTTGCTATAGGGCATGTGTGTTTGTCAGAGAGACAAGGGGAGACAGAGAGACAGCGAGAAATCACCCCCCAGGGGGGATTTGGTTATTTGCAATGGCCACACTGCAATACCCTCTCCTCCATTCTCCTCTCAGGATCTTGGGTATGCATGTACACGTGCCTGGTATGAGTTTTAAACTACCAGGTCCAGGACTTGAACCACAGTTGACTCTATGGGAGTTTGGAAAAGTAACCATTACACCATCTGCTGGTCCCAGTGGGGTCATCTTTTTTCTTTTAAATAATTATTTCAGGGACCAGCAGGTGGCGTGGTGATCAAGGTGCTGGACACTCCCACATGGCCGACCGGGGTTCGAGTCCTGGACCTGGTGGCTTGCTTTCTCACTTCCTCTCTCTCTCACTCTCACCCTCTATCTCTCTCTGGTCAAATTAAAAATCAATGAATGAATAAATAAAAAATAAAATAAATAGTTTAAAAAAAAAAAAAAGAATTATTTCAGGCACCAGCAGGTGGTGTGGTGGTTAAAGCACTGGACACTACCACATGACTGACCATAGTTCAGGCCCAGACCTGACAGCTTGCTTTCTCACTTTCCCTCTCTCTTTCTTTCCCTCTCCCACTCTCTCTCTCTTTCTCCATCTCTCTATGCTAAGCACATGTGCCCTATACTAAATTTAAAAATAGTAATAATAACTAAAATTAAATGAATAATTCTTAAAAAAAAAAAAAGGAGGGGGGCAAAGAGTAAAACCAGAGCAACAGAGCAATCCATAAGAGGATTGATAAGGTGAAAAACAGTAGAGACTGAGAATGAGATGAGAGACAATGTCCTAGCAATGATAATGAACTAGAAGTTAAGAGACCTGTCTCTTTCTGTCTCTCTGTCTCTCTCTGGTTGGCGGGCACACACACCCTATAGCGAGAAACCTCTCCAAAAAAAAAGAAAATATATATATATACCTTTGCTAAATCCTGCTCTAAATCCATATTAAGTTATTAAGTTAGGTAAAATTACCTTTATAAAAAAAAAAGAGTTATTTCATTTCATTATTATTATTATAATTATTAATAATTTGACCAGAGAAAGTGAGAGAAAGGGAAACTGAGAAAGGAAGGCAACAAGTCCGGGCCCCGAACTGTGGTCAACCATGTGGGAGTCCAGCACTTTAATCACCATGCCACCTGCTGGACCCTGGAGTCATCTTTTGATCTGAAACAGGCGACAGTTATTCAGAGCTAAACCCCAGCCTAACTCCTGCCAGGTCCCAGGCCAAGGTCTCCTGCGGCTGCTCAATCCAACCCCCTCCCCTTCCAGAGAGGCCACTCAGAGGCCTGCAGGGCACTCACTTGCTTGCTTCCGGAGGAAGTAGGTATTCCCGCTGTGGTGGCACACGTTGCAGTGAAAACTGTAGTTGGTCATGAAAGGCAGGCAGGATCTGCGGGAGAGACACAGAGAACACATCAGTGAGCTTCGGAACACACCTGTCCAGGAGGCACAGGTCATCGGGAGTCCTTTCCCCTGGGGAACGTCAGACGAAGTGTTAACGGACGCACGCACTCTTAGCCCATCAAGAGGGCCGGGTGTTCAGAGCAGCCCTTTTCATACCCTGGAAGCTCACACTCTCTATCTCAGTCCTAAAGAATCCACCCTACCAAGTTAGGCTTCAGGTGGAACTCCTTAAATTCAGGTACACATTGGTCTCTCCAAAGCTATCAAAACTTCGCACCGTGATTTGATTAGTCTCTGGGTTCCTCCCACTTATCTTTTTAGCTAATTCTCCTTCCTGGACTCTAGGCAAACAGATTCTTCTTGGCCAAAGTAGCCTGACTTAAGTCTTTTCTAAGCAACTGGCTTAGCTAGTGTAGTTTTCTTAAAGATCTTACTACCAGGATAGGGACCAGCAGGTGGCATAGTGGTTAAGGTACTGGACACTCCCACGTGGCCGACCACGGTTCAAGTACCGGACCTGGTGGCTTGCTTTCTCACTTTCTCTCTCTCTCTGTGTATCTCTCTCTGGTCAAATTAAAATAAATGAATGGATAAATAAAATTAAATAAATAATTATTTTTAAAAATTAAAAAAAAAAAAAAAGATCTTACTACTGGGACTAGCAGTTGGCACAGTGGCTATGTTGCTGGACTCCCATGTAGTCGACCACAGTTCAAGTCCTGGACCGGGTGGCTTAAACTCAAGCCAGGCGTGTATGCGTGCCCAAGATCCTAAGAGAAGAATGGAGAAGGGATTGCAGTGTGGCCATCTCCCTAGGAGGGTAATTTCTCGCTTTCCGTCTCCCTGTCTCTCTCTGCCTTTCTGGCTAGCACATATGCCCTATAGAAAAACCTCACAAAAAAAAAAAAAAAAATCTACCAAAATCAATTCTTTCTTCCTGATCCTTCAGTATTTTTCCCTTCGTTCGTACATACTTGATCCTACGTCACCAATCATATGTTAGTTGGGCAACAGCTTTTTCCTCTTAAGAGACAGAGTTTTGCCATGTTGCCCAAGCTGGCCTAGAACTAGTGAACCTCCTGTGTCAGCCTCAGGATGAATGCTACAACTGTGTAATGCTGAACCACATCTGGCTGGCATTAGCATCTGTAAAATCCACTATAACTTTTTTTTTCAATGAAAAAAAATTAGGGGCCAGCAGGTGGCATGGTGGTTAAGGCACTGGATCTCACATGGCTGGCTCTGAAGTTTGAATCCTGGACCTGGTGACTTTAAAACATGAGATGGGAAGCATGGCATAGCAGTTAAGGTGCTGGACTCCCACGTGGCCAACCAGGGGTCTAGCCTCAGACCTGGCAGCTTGAAAATCAAGCCAGGTGTATGTGCACACATGCACAAAATCTCGAGAATGGAGAAGGGACTGGCATGGACATCCCCCGGGAGAATGGAGAAGGGACTGGCATGGACATCCCCCGGGAGCTGACTTTTACTTTCCCTCTTTCTGGTGGGCGCATGCACCCTATGACATGAAATGAAACCTATTGGGGCCAGCTGGTTAAGGTGCTGGACTCCCACATGGCCAACTGTAGTTCAAGTCCTGGATCGGGCAGCTTAAGAAAGGAAACCTATTTAAAAGAAGAAGAAGAGAAAATCACCTCAAGTGCATATGTGTGCCCAAAAGCTTAAGAGGACAGCAGAGGGACCAACAGTTGGCATGGTGGTTAAGGAACTGGGCACTCCCACATGGCCAACCACAGTTCAAGTCCCAGACCTGGTGGCTCGCTTTCTCACTCCCCCCCACCTCTGGTGTGTGTGTGTGTGTGTGTGTGTGTGTCTAACTCTCTGGTCCAATTAAAAAATGAATGAATAAATAGAATTTTAAGAAAAGAGGACAGTGAAGCAGAGACTGTGGTGTGGCCATCCCCCCCGGGGGGTGATTTCTCACTGTCTCTTCTTCTCTTGTGTCTCTCTCTCCACCAAGCGCACATGCTCTACTGCAAAAAATCTAAAAGGAGCTTTTTAGACAGAGTCTCAGTGTTCCCTGCCTCAATCTCCCAAGTGACTAGGACTGCAGGGATGTGCCCCCGTGCCCTGCTCTCCCAACAGCACCGCATCGCATGCCCAGGCAGGACTCGACCCTGCGATCCTCTTGTCTCAGCCTCCCTAGTAGCTGGGACCACAGGCAGGTACAACCACTTTGCGTCCTTAGGGCCTCCCAGGTGGCCTCAGCTCCCCAGACAGCATCCACCAGCACAGAGCTGGACCCCCACTTGACTTTTGAGTAGAAGCTATACAGAAAATTATAAAGGAAGGCACTTCTTCACAACCCCACCCAAAGGGGGTTAATTTTAGAATAATGCAGCCTGGCCAGGAGTTCAAGTCCTAGACACAGCAGTTTAAAACACACACCAGGCCCATGTGCATGCATGCCCAAAATATCAAGGAGAATGGAGGAGAAAGGACTGTGGTCTGGCCATCCTCCTGGGGGGTGATTTCTCTCTCTCCAGCAAGCACACACGTCCTATAGCGAATTAAAAACAAGAAGAGAGGACCAGCATGTGGCACAGTGGTTAAGGCACAATTCCCTCTCCATTCTCCGCTGTGGATCATAGGCACACACCCGCAGGTGCCCAGCCTGTTTCAAGCCCCCAGGTCAGTCCCGCAGTCGGCCACATGGGAGCTCAGAGACAAGCCCTATGACACCTGCTGGTCGCGACAAAGGGACCCTCACAGGAGGGCTGAGGTACCCACGAGGTGTCTATGCCGAAGGTGTCCGCCGTGAACCACTTGGTGCATATCCCGCACTGCAGCTCCACCTCGCCCAGCTGCCGGCCGTTCTCTTCGTCCACGGAGCCCCCCTGAGCATCCGTCACCTCCGAAGTGTCCGCAGCACCTTCCTGGGTCCACAGATCAATTAGTGAGCGGGCTGGCTGGCTGGTATTTTGATTCACTTAAACATTCGAAAACATCCTTATGATGCCTTACAGACAGCCGAGAAGAATACTTACTAGAGCATCTTTCCCATTAGAGGATTCTGTCTCCAAACCACCGCTTACATCCACCAGGCTCGCCTCCCTACAGGACAAGGCAAGCGCTCAAGTGAGCCGTTTCCGGGGAAGCGAACCTCAACTCCACAGCCCACAGCTCTTCCAGCCCAGCCTGCTGGGTGCACCCCAGGGCCGCGACAGGCCGGCCCGCCCCCCCCCCCCC